GGCCAGCAGCTGCTCCGGCGACTCCTCCTCCGTGTCCACCTTCACCTCCTCCTCCTTGCCCTCGGCCTTGGTGCGCTCCTTCAGGCGCATCTCACGGTGCCGGGCCTCCAGGATCTTCTCTCGCTTTGTCTCTCGCTCGAACATCTGTGAGGCATGGGGGTGGGGGGATAAGGCCCGGGGACCTGGGCCCACAGCGACAGGGCTGGGGCAGGAATCCTGGCCTCTGAAGGGAAGCAGAGTCCCCAGGCGGTCAGCCCCTACAGCGTGGGCTGCTGCTCCCCTCCCGCCCATAGCAGGCCCCACATTAGCCATGCCCCCGACATCTCTGCAGTCCCCCTCCCTCCAGGGATCCGCCACAGCCTCTGTCACACCGCCGAGGGGAGTGTGAAGCAATTACATGGTGGGGTGCGTCCCTGTGGGACGAGGGTCTCTCACGACTGCGTGCCAGGGCCAAATGCTAGACCCCTTCCCCTGCGCCATGGGCTGCCAGCGGGACTGGGAGCGCCCAGCACCCTGGTGCTAGCGAGAGCGGAAGGCCACCCGAATGCCCCCTTTCTGCAGCCTGGGCCCAGGACTGCCGACCTCGGGGTCCTTCCTGACACGGCCCTGCCTGTGCAAGAGACCCTGCGGGAGGCCAGGACGCCGCCCAACACCGCGCTGCTTTGAGGGAAGGTTTGAGTCCCCTGGCGCAGCGCCGTGTGTGGACACTTCCCTCGCGCCTGGGAGCTCACAGGGCGAAGCGAAACCAGCAGCCTCAGGCTGGAGCAGCCGCCAGCCCCTCCACACAGGGCTGGGCACTGGCTTCACTAAACTGGTTTGGGATCCAATTTGAATCAACCGGCCGCAGCTCCTGAGCGGAGACGCCCCGGGGGTGCTGGAGATGCCCCCTGTGCGGGTGCCCATGCTGAGCTCCCCAGCCACAAGCGCCAGGCCATGCCCCTGCCTCCCGGGCTCAGGGAGCGAAGCCCGGCCCGAGAGACTCACCGCCCTGGCCAGGTTCTTCTCGTTCCTCTGCAGGGTGCAGAGCCCGGACGAGACCTCCAGCAGGGTCACCGTGCCCAGCTTCGAGCCGCAGCCAATGAAGCGCCCGTTGTCCTGCAAACGCAGGCTGAAGAGAGGCTCGTCGCAGACCTGGGGAGGCAGAGTTGGGGGGAGTTTGCTGTCCAGGTGCGTGGGCGCTGAGCCAGTCCAGGCTGGCCCCCCGGCAGGCGTGGCAGGGCCGACGGATGCAAGCGCCTCCCACGCTGTCAGTCAGATTGGTTGATTTGGGAAGGAGGTTTTCACTCCTGGGTGACGTGGTCCAAATGGGGGAGCGGGGAGGCCTGGCTCCTGCAGAGGGGAGTGCAGAGGGGAGTGCCGCAGGCACATCCGACACGCAGGCCTAGCTAACGTTGCTTTCCTACAGGGCTGGGTTGCCCAGACAGAGAGATATGGGCGAGTGCCCATGTGTGCACCAGAGCGCACTATGATTTCCTCCCTTGCTGGGCTGCAGAACCAGCGGGGCCGACAGCCACCGTGGGCTCGGGGGCAACGTGTGGGGGCCTGACTCCATGCCCCCGGAAGGCGCAGGGCCGAGGGCAGTCAGCCCCCGCTTTTCCCCAGCCCTCAGAGCCACACGGAGCAGTGCCAGCTGCCACCGTAGCAGTTGAGAGCCCCGGGCCTCTGACTTGCCCCCTTCATCTCCCCCCACCCCCATCAGTGGGCCTTGCACGAAGCCCGGGAGAGCTCTGCAAAGCCCCTCCCCGACCCCTCCAGGGGGTCCAGATCTCTGCTTCCCCCGCGGGCGAGGTGCAGGATGGCGCGTGCCGGGACCAACCTTCACGCTGAGGGAGGGGTCGTTCTGCTTGAAGAGGAAGTCCCAGACGTCAAGGGTCCCGTCCATTTTGGCGGTGAAGAAGACGCCCGGGCGGACGGTGCTCCAGCACCCGTCTGTTAGGTAAGCCATGTGATACCTGCCAACGCACCCAGCGGCTTAGGGCAGCTCGGTCACGCCACTCGGC